ATTGAAAATAAAACAAAGTTACAATTTGGAATGGAAAAAATAAATCCGCACAGTAATAGATTCATACTAAAAAAATTAAAAATAAGAAACAGATTTAAACCAACATATATATGTACAATGATATCTCACAGTATTAATATTATGCAAAATTTTCAATAATACGCTGAATTTAATAGTATATCTACAAATTATAGTATAAGAATTTCTTATAACTAACTGCATCGAAATTGTTGTAAGAACATAATTCTAAAATTCAAAAAAATTATACCAAAAAATTTGTGTGAAAATACGATCCTAAAAATTTTTAAAGAAAGTCAATTAAAGATTAGTTTTGCATTATGTAGCAATTTACATACATTTTTTAAATTTTAGATACTAATTAATGACAGAATTTAAAAATTAATAAAACAATTTAAATTATACAAATATGGATATATAGAGAAAATATAGAGAGATAATATATATACAGGGTGCGGCATTTATAGTGACGCGGGCATATTTTTCGGAAACGAAGTGAGATATCAAAAAATATTTCCGACAAAAGCTGCATGGTTTTGAGGGGGCCACATGATAAAAATATGGATTTGACCTTATGTGGTCTTTTCAAGGTGAGGTCAATGTGGTCGATGTTTTCTTAAATGGAACCCCCCCTTTTTTATTACATATTCTTGTAGCTTATCTCGAGAGCTTTTCAAAACACTATAATAAAGTATTTTTTCATTAAGTACTTTTTGAGTTTATTTTATATTTTAATCTGACATATTTTGATATAAAAATTTAAATATCTCGTAAAATTTTTAGTTTTCGATAATCTTACCGTAATACTTTTGTGTACAGAATAATGAGACAAATCAATTAGTGTAAAAAAAATAAATAATTGTTTAAAAAAATACATTGTTAATAATTACATACTTTTTCTTAAAAATAATTAGTTTTTTTTACTAATTGATTCGTCTCATTATTCTTTACATAAAAGTATTACGGTAAGATTATCGGAAACTAAATATTTTACGAGATATTTTATTTTTTATATCAAAATATGTCAGATTAAAATATAAAATAACTCAAAAAGTACTTAATAAAAAAATACTTTATTATAGTGTTTTGAAAAGCTCTCGAGATAAGCTACAAGAATATGTAATAAAAAATGGGGGTTCCATTAAAAATTTTAAATTACTTCCCGCCCCTTTTAGAAGGGAAGCGGAGGCAATTTTATGTTTACATCGTTAGAAAGGCTCCTCGAAAACATGAAACTTTCTCATGAACAATTTTTTGATTTAACAAATATTTTTAGAGTTATTAGCTTGTAACACTTTACGTGGGCCACCCTGTATATATATATATATATATACAGGATGTACAAAAAGTGTCAAAAATATGAAGCATTAATATAAACATAAGCGGAAGCATAAATTTTAGTTTTAAATCAGAAATAGGTTTGGGTTAGGTTATATCTTCCGGAAGTGGAGCCCACCCATAGGGGAAGGGGGGGGGGGACCGACTGTGTTCACATGTACACTTTCCCATCCACACAAAAATTGTGAGATGGACCTCGCTTCGCAGTGTAAAGTATATGCGTGGACACAGTGGGTTCCGCCCTCCCCCCTCTATGGGGGGGGCTCCACTTCCGGAAGATATAACCTAACCCAAACCTATTTCTGTGTGTGATTTCTGATTCTTAATTCTGATTCTTAAATGTACACGGTGTCAGACAATTACGTTCCATTCGTTAAACTTATTTTGTTAATAACTTTTTAATAAACAACGAGCGACGGCTAAAACTTTTTGAAAGTTACTCAGGAGCATGTCCTTGACAACATATATCAAGGTCATTGAAATCGGTGAGGCCCCTAATATGCATAATTACATTTGCTTTTATTAATAAAACGCTGAGATTCTCTGAAATTTGTTGTTGTCTTAGATTAATTATTCGATTAATTATCGTAATACTTGTCTTTTGAAATTATCATCTGAAACAAAGTATTTTTATAAACATCCATTAATTGGTAATGCCCATTTTTATACATAGCAAACATTACTGCAAATCATTGATCATTATTATAATATACATTAAAGAAAGAATATATATAGTAATTTTTTTAGCAAAAATAAAAATAGAATGTAATAATATAAATATATCATAATATAAATATTAAAAATGTCATAATATAAATATTACCAGACAGATTATCAGATGGTTTTAAAGTTTGGGATGAAGACTTATAGCAAGTAAATGTAATGGGTAATTCACGATTTTCTTTTTAATTATGTTTTCCTACTGTAGCTGATTCAACCACAGATTTATTTGTGAATGTATTTGATTGTAATGATTTCACGCCAAATGTAAAAGTTAACATTGTACTCTCTTTATTAAAGTTTAGAAGTATTGAACAATGCTTAAGCCTTGTGTCCACGGTGCTAGAACTCGGTCCAAGTTTTCGGACCGAGAAATATGTAGCTAATTAATTTGCAGCTTTTATGAAAAAGCGCCAATTTTATTGAATTAGCGGCAATTTTTCAGCAAGGCTGACAGTTTTGACAGTTAAAGATATATAGCGTTGTACTTTCTTAAGACAATGTTTATAAGTATCAGTGAAATATGCGAATAGGCAGGTACAAACCCATCTCAAAGAAATTTTCGTGAGGGGGAAAATATTTTGAAAGCTGGACACTTGATTTCATGTGAGAAACATGAAAATCAAAGTGAAAACGACTCGGTGACAGCTCACTGTTTACAAACATCGCAACTAAGAGCATCTCTACATGAAATTACTGGAGAAATTTTAGCAACTGGAAAAATAATTTCTATTTTGTGCCCATGCAAAGCTGGTCTAGGAGAGAAATATAAACACGTTTTAGCTACACTATTGTATTGCCACAGGTAAGTTCCCAATCTGTATCTGCATGATTGCATAAATTACAATTTTTCTGCCTGCATTGCTGTTTGTTTTGATTCGTTTTGTGGAATGAAATGCATGGAATGCCATTGTTTAATTTCAGGATTAATGTTAATGGTTTAGAGGTGTTATCTATTACCGATATAAAGTGCACACGTGGAAAAACAAACACAAAGATTCGCTCAGTAAATATCAACCGCTTCCTTTAGAACATCACGCATGCTTTGGCAAAATTGAGAACAGTATCGTTATAACTGAAGATTTAAACGCAATTATAACAAAATCATTGACCGATCGACTTCCCAAGTCTACATTTGCAAAACATATGTGATTGTCCCTTTTAATACCCAATTAATACATTTTAGAGCTTGTCACTTTTCTCACAGCTAAACTGTTGTTGTCTGGATAAAAATTTTTGCATGTTACACATCAATTGTTTGATCACTTCATATTCCTCACCTCTGATTTGAAGACATTTTATCACACTTTTAATATTACAGAGTTGGGAGACATGCGCCAGTTTCGGTTGAATTGAACAACGTCTTGTCAGAAATAGACTATGAAATTATAAAACATAGATTTGTTAGTCAAGATTCTGAATTAATGAATGTTATAAAAAATGTAATTGTCAAACCATTGAATGAATGCTGCAAAACCAAATTAAAAAGACTGGATGATGATGATCTCATATTAATATGTGAAAGAAGTAAAGTAAATTATTCATTATGGCAGAAAGAAAGGCAGTTTTGTGTGACAGGTTCAAGATGCTATGAATTATATATGTACACATATAACAAAAATCCAAATTGGAAAAAAAAGTGCTATGATTATTTTTATCCAGTGAATTTTAAAAGTGAGTTCACCGAGTACAGGCGAAAGACTGAGTCCAGTGCAAGAAATGCATTTTCAAAAGCATTACACCAAAAAGTTATCGAAATTGGATTTGTTATCTCAAAACAAAACCCTTGGCTAGCGTATTCACCTGATGGGATAATTGTTAATGATGATAAGCCAATGGAGTTGCTCGAAATAAGGTGCCCGTACAAGAGTAAATCAATGAACGTTCATGATGTAATAAAGTACGAATTCAAAAGTTGCTTAATTATAGAAGGGCTACACGTAAGGTTAAAAGAAAAGCATAAATATTATGCTCAAGTACAAATGGGTATGGCTGTGCTAAATTTGAAAAATGCTCAATTTGTGATCTACGATTCTTATGATAAAAGTATTATAACCATAAATGTACCTTTTAATGAAAGTTTTGAGATGAGCATGTTAAAATCTTTAAAAGAAACTTACTACAATATTATGTTACACGAGATATGTGAAAATGAAAGTGCAAAAATATAATTTATGAAAAAATGTGATAAAAAGAAAAGAAATATATGTTCTATTTATATTATATATATAACCCGCACGGTCAATTGAAAAACAAGAAGAAGAAGAAGAAGAAGATAAATTTGCAAAACCCGAATTATCGGTGTTAATGCATAAAAACAAGATCGAAGCAGCTACTACTATCTCCGCACAAGCTGCCATTGAAAACTCGATGTTACAAGTCGACGCGACTAAAAACACAATACCGAAAGAGGTAAATACCGAAGTTATTGAATATATAATACCGCTCGTTCGTTCGCCTCCATTCCAAAAAAATGAACTCTCGCGAAATTCTACAAGCATTGCGCCACATCAATGCCAGACATGTGAGAGTTTATCCGACTGACAGAGTCCCGAGGGTGTGGACGAGGTCGACTGCCATCGTCGCTAATACGGATGACCACAATCGACCTGGAGAACATTGGGTCACCTTCTTCCTCGACGAGCATGGTACAGCCACATACTTCGACAGCTACGGAATACCACCCTTGCACCCCGGATTTCTCCTCCGACTTCGTCGAAACTCCATTATCCATCGGTGGAATATTCAACAATTATAAGGAATTTTTTCTCAAACATGCGAACAATATAGTTGCGTATTTTTATATTATATGTGCAACGATTACGATCTTAATCGGTTTCTTAGTCTTTTTACCGAAGATTACAAACATAACGATCGTTTAATCGTACACTCATTTCGTAAAATTTTTCTTCGCGAAAAAAGAAACAAGTGAAACATTGTACGCTATGTGATGTCGTGTTTAATTGTGTAATTCGAATTGTAATACGATATAGAAAATATACGATGTACTCTTATGTAATATTTTAATTATATGTAATAAGAATATTGATTTTGAAAAACTAATATCAATAAATGTGGGATTTTTTTGCTTAAATAGTTAATTTTTTTTCATCTGCTCCTCTCTTCCCTTTTACAATATAATATTCCAAACGTTCGAACTTGTTAATGCCTGTTTTTTATTATCCTTTCATTGTCTGAAGTAATACCGACGCGGCAAATGCAAATTGGAGACTGATAGTTACGATGGATAAATAGAAAGTAAATCCGAAATAAATAAAAAGCAAATCATAAAACATTATAACATACAATTTTGTAACCGAGAATAATAACGTATATGGTGTTATATTATTTTTCAATTTTCCGAAAAAGAAACAAAAAGATAAAGAACAGACAATTCCAAGTTTCATAGATTGTTATACCTAAACTCTATAGAAACTAAGGAAATTAGCCATCCATAAAATGTAAATAACTAAAAATAAGTAGCGCTAGAATAAAGAAACTTTTTTCCCCACTTTATCGTCCTTTTGGAAAACAGTGGGGGAATATGTATAAATTCTGTCTTCCCATGAGAAAATCCAACATTAGTTTTTCACCTCTTGAAATTTTGGTAAATATAGCGAATAGGGGACCCAGCCCCAATGACCTTGACCTTGACATATGTTATTAAGGACATACTTGTGAGGGTAAATATAGCGAATAGGGGACCCAGCCCCAATGCCCTTGACCT